TAACCAGATGACTTTTTAATTTCATGCATAAGATCTGTAACTCTTCCTTTAAACCTACTTACTGCAACCCTTGTGGATCCATAGGGATATCCCCTTACTCATGAACTCAATATCTAGATTGACAATTAACTCGGTCATCTCTATATCCCGTCTTGTGATGGGTGCTAAATATACCATCACCTCGATACCCCGTCCAGTATGAAGGTGAATCATATCTTTCAAAACCTTTCGGTATGGGACTTCTCAGTCCTATCTGACTGAGGTAATGTCTACAGTAGAGTTCCCTATGTATCGGATACGTTCATCCTTTCCTAGAGTACCTAGTAAGTTTCCATATATATAGATCCTCATCATCCCAACAACCACCAATCGCATACCAACGCCTCATTACATATTTATGGATTAACCTAAAAGACATCTAAGCAAGCAATAAAATTTATGATAATCAGGTAACCAAATAACCAAATAAACAAAGAACTAGTGTAGGGGGAACCAAATAAAGTAGATAATCGAGGACACAGTTCAAACTAGAATTTAATGCACATAATTCAATAGTAAACATTTTAAGCAATACAGATGAAAATGAAAAGTAAACTAAGACAATTGTATACTGATCAATTCTGCATCCACTAATAACTTGTAATTATTATTAGAGTTTTTCTAACTTTCACAAAACACAGAATTATTGATTTTTAAGACTTAATTCACCGTAACAAAAAATAGGGTGAGGGATCCTTACCCGAATCAGTGTTTTAAAACATTGTACTACCCACTATGCCTTCTGACTAGCCCCAAATTTTCCTAAAGTTTTCTTGCAGAAATCAAAATATCTGTCACGTACCCAAAAATACTCTAAAAATCCAAAATCACTGTTAAAAATTTTTCGGTCAATTTTAGGGCTCTGACACGGTGGCGTCGTCGTGCTTCGGTGCTGGCTCCACTGCTCACAGCAGCAGTTGACCTTGACCTACCCAGTTTTGATCGGTTTTATATGTATTCCTATAAAAAAATACGTTAAGAAGCCTCGGTTGGTCAAAAAAATAAAAAAATCAACCTATCGGCGGTAGGAGCCGGGGGAGGTGGGAGGGGGGCGGGGGAGAGAAGCTCTCCCGGTATGGTGGCTTCGTTGGTTCTCCTTCACGGCTGGGGTTTTTTCTTTAACTAATCTGCACAGAAAGGGACGGTGAATACAATAGTCAAAGAATCATGTAAAACGGGAAACAAAAAACGGAAAAGGGGTCATCGGAAAGGGTTTAGAGTTTTGGCTGCGACGGCTTCGTCTGGCTTTGCCAGTAGTTTCCGACTCACCCGCTTTTCCTTTTGCTCCGATATAGCCACAAGGAGGCTCGAAATTGAATTCTAAGTGGGGAGGAGAAAATTTTACATTTTTCGGTGGTCGTCAGTGGCTCCGGTGTGGCAGTAGTGGCATCCCTCCAGTGGTTGGTCTTCCCTCTGACCGCCTCCTTCTTTTTCTTCTCCGGCTGGATGTCACCTAGGGTTTGGGGCCGACTGAAGAGAGGTTTAAATACCTCTCTTCCCTCTGATCTCGATCGTCCATCTACGTCGACGTGGAGCGAAGAGAGTCATCTGATTGTTGCCTGTCTATACTGATTGCGTGGGTAAATCTGGGTCATTCATTGCAATTGATATCGCCCGTCCAATCGTGTCTAAAGAGAAAATGCACATGAGTCGTCCGTGCATACAGAACGTGATCGGGACCGTCGGATCGCCAGACACGCAGATTACTTGTGTGGCCTCCCGCATGGTTCCGATGTCAGCGTGTTTTGCCACGCGGCGTGCTCTGGTTCGCCGTGACAGTTGACTGGGTCGTCCCACGATGCTGAATTTTTTTTTTTTTTTTTGCAATTTTACCCCATGTTTCCAAGTTTTCTTTTAAAAAATTAAATTATTTATTTATTTATATATATTTTATAAATAAAAAAATCATTCCGGACCAAATTTTTGGTCCCGAATGTTACATTATCTTGACTTAATTTACATAATTAATTTTATTTTTGTTTGGGACCCAACAGACACTCATCTCAAGGTCTTTCTAATAAAATTTTCAATTACGGCTAAGTAGCATAAGTTCAGGATTTAAATTTTATATACTCATGTAAAAATATTAATCATTTAAAAAATAAAATAATAATTATAGTTGCATTGTAATTACCTTATATAATATTATAAAATTGATCATACTACGTTACATTACAAAATTATTAAATTCCAAATCAAACTATTGTATAACAATTGAACTCTTCTTTTTTTCAAGAAAAAAAAAAAAAGCAAAAGACAAAAGCCCATGCACTTAATTAATTTATATATTATTATGAATTAGTGTTATTCTCCAATGCCTTTATGATTATTTTTCTTTGAAGTTTTGAGTTAAAGCACTGAAAAAAGGGACATAAAAAGCTGAACCCATAGATTTCATTCAATTGGGTACACATAGGAATAAAGCAAAAACACATTATATTAGTCACAGTGAATTGTCGTATTGTTGGATCTTGATTTTGACATGAAAATTTTGTAGTGTCTTATCAATTTGCACTCCAATTTAATTTACAAAAACGACTTTTAAATGACCCAATTCTTCATTACAAATATGAAAAATGTAAATGTCAAAATCAGACAGCCAATTGAAATGATCGGCCATGCCACGTGTAGACCTATTGGTTTCAAATATTTGGAACGTATATAATCATATATATATATATATTTACATATCGCTCCATGTAAATCATATATATATATATATATATATTATATGCATGTAGATCATTAAATTATGGGATTTGTACAGGGTTTATGTGCGAAGATAAAGATGAGAAGATAAGCATAAACATAAGGGACGACTGAGGAGGAGAGAGTGTTTTAAGTATTTGAGGGAGACTTGTCTCAATAATAGAGCTGTAGTAGCTACATCATAATCTCTCACCTACTATATAGTTGGAGTATATATACACACACACACACACATACATACCCTCCAATTTAATTTATTTCTTATCCCTTCTTTTCTTCCCAACTTTCATTGTAGTCCTCATATTCAATTAAATGTTTCATTCAACATCTAATCAATGAAATCTAATACACATATTGTTAGATTCTGTTTGAAGAATTTAAAGTTGAGAAGTGATCAAATAAGAAAGAAATTTAGTGGGAAATTCGAGTGAAAATGGAAAATTAGTAAAAATAGTTATGAATTAATTATTGTACAGAGGGGAAATTATTTATACAGGAAAATTAAATTACAAAAGTAACCCTATATTTTTAAGTAAGTACCATTCCATCTAATATTCTAATATATATATATATATATATATATATATGTATAGACATGCATGGTGTTACACAAATACGCATGCACAAAACTAATTTTATATTAAAAATTAGAAAACCAATTAATTGCTAAAGTGCCTACTTAAAAATGGATATTTATTAGCCGCAGTTTCCTTTAAATTAATATAATTATTTTTATATTATTCTTTAAACAATATATCATATTTAAACCCAAAAGTTCTACTATGACTAACCATTTAAAATCTTTATACTCTGTTTGAATCGTATTAAATGATAAAATTTTAATGTGTGGTATTTAAAGAGTGTGAAAAAATTATATTTATTTTAATTTCAAATAGTAACAAATGATATGTGATTGACAAATTTAGGATGAATTTTAAAATTATAGAATTGATGGTATGTGAATGATAAATTACTTTTTTTTCCTTTATACTCCCATATAATATACTTAATTCTATTTTTATCTTTACAATTTATTGTTTATTTTATTAAATATAAAAATTTAATTTGTAATAATTATTTATTTAAATACAAATGTAATTATATTGATAAACAATTTAATTTTTTTATTATATATTTATTATATACCACTTATTATTACATAAATAGATATTGATAAATTAGTAATTTGACTGAAAACACAACCATACCATCCTATCATACAAACAAAAATATGTCAACATACATTAATATACAATTATCTAAATATAAAAAGAATTTGTCATCCACATCCTATGTCATTGCTGTTTAATTATTATCATTACCATACATTAATTAACCATCATTAAAATATATCTAAATAAGATATTAAACTACAAATATTTACAGGTTTGGAATTGGAGTGGTACAAAATGGATTAAAGTCAAAAACAAAAATAATCCAAAATTAGTAAATATTTAATATTATATATTTATAATATTATTAGTAGGTTATTGTAAATATTATTTATATTTTTATTAAAAATTTATATATTTAATTATTTAATAACATTTTTCAAGATTAAATAAGATGGTAACACATAAAATTTTAGCCGTAAAATTACATATAGATTGAGTATGAATTTATACTTTTCACGAGCACTGTAAGTCTCATAACATGTGTAAAAATCTAAAATTACTGAAGGTGATTGTGAATTCATTTGTCAAGAATTAATTACGGAAGGTGGAGAAAACAAAGAAGAAGTTCAATCAATCACAGCCACTACAATCAAACCCATCATCACCGCTCACCAACCTCCATTAAAATGCTCTCTCTTTTACTTAATTAACAAGCTTCCAGCACATATATATTATCAGAGCTATAATTACTACAAGATTAAGAATTAGGAGAAAATGAAAAGTCAAGCATTGGGATTATTTTATTAAAAAATTACATATTTATATTTAGTTAAGATATTCTGATAAACATTAATATAAAAATTATAATTTATTTTTTTAATTAAATTTAATTTATATTTACATTTTATTTAATGAATTTATTTTTTAAAAAAATTTAATTCATATTTATCTTTTAAATATCATGTAATTTGTAATATTTTATTTTTAAGAGATTAATTTATATATAAACTTACTTAAAAACATATTACATTGTTAACTTTAGAGTTAATAAAAATCTAAATTTTTTTTATTTAGAAAAACTTAACATATTTGTTGCCGAATAATTGAACATGCCGTTTTTTTTCTCATGCAAAAAGATACGACTAACATTAAGTAAGATTTAATTCATTTTCTCACGCAGGAAAATACATGTATAAACATATACAAACTGTTTTGTATGATCATATCAGTCGAATGAACCAAAATTTACGTGCTGATTAATTAAGCAAATTAAGCTTCATCTTCCCCACACGTTGTGACAAGGTGATTCGAGGGCAGCCATTATTTTCTGTGACTTAAGCTCTTTATAAAACCTCTTGATAAACTCTTCAGCTTCTTTGTCCACCATACTATCTCCCTCATCCTTTAACGGAAACGGGGAATCCGTCACCCTCAACTGCCTCACCATGGGGCTTCGTCCGAACCCGGGAAGCACCAGTGGGGATGATGCTGCAACGCCAGCGGCAGTCTCCGCCGCGGCCTCGTTGTTGAGCATCTCGAGCACCCTTTGGACGGCGGCGACGGTGGTGACGTCGTTATAACGGTAGGCTTTGGGTAAGTGCCGATGGTGTTTGCGCTTGTGGGGGTGGAAAGGGTAGAAGTTGAGAGCCGGACTGTTGCTGCAACTGAATTCGTATTCTCTGGGGGAGATGAAGGAGAGATGAGCGTCATTGGAGCGGCAAGTGAGGGAGGAGTAATGGTGGACGATGAGGTTTCCGATGGCTTTTCCGGCGAACTTGTTTCCTCGTTTGAACATTAAGTGGAGATCTATCATGATCTTGCTCTTTGATATGCTTGTTTTTAACATGAAGAACACTGCGCGTATTATGTTCCATAGCTTCTTTGCTACCTCTGGTGGGCTTCGCTCTATTTCCATTTTTGTTTCTTGTGTAGTTTGTTCGCTTTTTTTTTTTTTTTTACAGAGAGAGAGAGAGAGAGAGAGAGAGAGAGATAGGGAGAGAGGGGGAGGAAGGAAGAAGTTATTAGAGAAAATAGGGTTTTGTGTTTGAGAGGTAGAGAGGGGAGAGAGGTATTTAAAGGATCAGGAAATAATAATTAATTAAATCAAAATAAAATATTTTAATTAATTAAAAAAGTGGGAAATAAAGACAAAAACTTTGTTGAATGTTGCCAATAGAGTAGTGAACTACTTTAGATTTTCTCTTTTTTCTTGCTTTTTATTATAAAATTATTTAATTTAAACACATTTTCATGTAAATTAACAAATTTCCTCAAATTAATTATAGATTTAATAATTAAGTCTTCTAGAAAAGAAGTACAATTTAACTTCAACTTTTATATTTTTTAGAAAGGATTTTAAAATTAACAAATTCCAATTATTCGTAAAGCATGTGTTTTTATAATAAATAGTAGTTATTTTAGGTTTAAAAGCAAAGTTTCTTTTAAGGGTGTTAATTAATTAATTAATTAACTGAAAGAAAAGATTAGTGGGTATTATTTTATTAGTTATAGGAGAGATGATATTTTGGGTGGGCAATCATTTGGGGAAAATGTATAGGAGATTACTAGAAAGACCCTAAGGAGGGGACCAAATTGCTTAAGAATGCCCTTGAAGCTCAATGATTAAAGATATTTAGGTGTATGCCCTAATTGTAAGGGTAAAAAAAGTGAACACACACAGCTTTGTATTACTTTTCTTAGGAACTTATTAAATAGTCATTGGATCCCCAACTACACATGTGACAGAGTAGCAAAATTCACAACCACACCTTACAAACTACTGATATCAGTTTTAAATTTAATTAATTTAACTTAATTAGTTTTAAATAAGTAATTATGTATAATATTGCATACATAATATTGATCAAATAATATGTATATAATATTGATGATCAAATTTTCATTAGTTATCTCCAGTAGATAACAAGTAACAGACACTTTAGAGCTAGAGCCGCAATCAATATTTACGTTAATTTAATTTAATTAGTTTAAATGAGTAATTAGCCTTTACCTCTCCTCTCATATGTTTAATATTTATAAAATATCTACCGTTTCAAGCTTTTCGTACATTTATTCAATAATACTAATTTTACAATAAATTTTATAATGTTAGTTAATTGAATTAATTAAAACATAATTTCTCATTTTAATTTTCACATTAATTTCTACGTTAATTTTTATAAAACTCTTTTTTCACATCTAGCGTTACTCTTTTTGGCTATTTGATTTTGAAAATGTTGAAATTGTTTAGATTATTTTAGTAAGTTTAACAATTAAAGACTATAGAATTCCAAGAGGAGAAGAATTTGAAATTTAACCTATAATTACTAATCAAATATGAACAGATTATACCTTAAAATTCACTTTTTGATTTTAATAAATAAATTTCAGTCTATAAATATATATATCTCTTATAATTTAATTAAAAACGATTTATTTGTAATAATTGGTAAAAAAAATAAATTTTCTTTTTAATCAAAAAAATATTTACCTTGTATGTAACATATATTAATGTTAAAAGGAGAAAGTAGTCATAAAAGCGTGTGGGTAGCAGGTGGTTTTCACGTTGCAAGAGTCTAAAGGGACGTTTTCGTTGCCATTTGCCAGCCTGACAAGGTTGACGCTTTATCAATTGCATCACCTAATTGGGACACGTGGCGTTCTATGTGAGGTCCTCCATCAACCATCATGGCCATTCATTTGTTCTGCTGCTTAATTAAAATTTAATTGGAGTAAAAACGCTTATGAGAATATTTTATGTATATTTTAAATATGTTTTATTAAAAAAATATTTTATGTTAAAAATTATTTTATATTTATGATGTAAAATATTTTGTATATATTTTACAAATTTTTTTGAAAATAAAATTTTTAAAATTTCTCTATATAACCATATTGATGATATATTTTTATTTTATCATAATAAAATTTTTTTAATTAATTTTGTTTATAAATATAAGTATATTTATCGAATTAAATTAAATTTTATATATTTTTTATTCCGTTATTTACTTTATATGATTGTGTGTATAGTAGATAAAATGCAAGTAAAAAATAAAATATTTTTTGTTTAATTTACTTTTAATTAATTATCACTCTTAAAAGATTTTAGAGTCAAATATTGTTTTAACTTAAAAGCTTATGTATGTATGAATATACGTGGACATAATTAAAATAATAAAAATGGTTTAATTTGGTTTAGTTTAGTTTATTTGATTGTGTATGTCGGTTTGCGCAGCCGCAGAAATTGACGCATGGAGCAAATCCAACCTGGATGCAAATTCACAATTTCTGGTTTTTTATTTTTTATTTTTAAATTTTGAAGAATAATTTTAACAATAATTAATAGTTGCTGTTGGAAAGCCACTTTTTAAAATAATGAAAATTTTCAGGGCTCCTTGTGTATGTGGCTACGCCTTGGATAATCCTCTACTTACTTTATTATTTCTTTTATTTTTATAATTTTCAATTTTAAATCTTTAAAAAATTTATTCTTACTAATTAAATTAAATAATAATTTTGTTTTTAATTTCTCTGCTTAATAATATATATATTTTATTACGCTATGAAAACATAACATGTATTTCTAAATTATATATAATACATATTTTGAAACTCAAAAATTTTGAGAATTAATCTTTGATGAATGAGTGCAAATTAAATATCATTGTCATAGAAATTCTAAAAAGAAGCTATAAATTAATCTTTACTAATACTATATGTAATAACTAGGGAAAAAGAAAAGAAAAAAAAAAAAGAGAGGGGAGGGAAACGATGTCGTTTTAAAGAATGAAAAACGATGTCGTTTTGCAGAGGGGAGAAAACGACGTCGTTTTGAAAAGGAAAAAATGATGTCGTTCTGCAAGGGAGAAAACGACGCCGTTTTGAGGAAAAACTAGGGTGATATAAATAGGGGGCGGGGGAAGAAAGGAAAGAGGAAAGAAAAAGAAGAAAAAAAAAAGAAAAAAGAACAGGGGAAGAAGGGGAGCAGAAAAGAGAAAAAGGAGAGGACGGAAGTTCCAGAATGAGAGAGAAAGGAAGCAAAGCGGAAAGAAGAGGAGACCGCGGACGGTGATAGCAGATCGGCCGAAAGAAGAAGATGAAATGGGAGTACGGTAACAATCTTCAAATACGTGTGTTGATTTGAGTTTGAAATGTTTGGATGTGTGGCGTGCGTGG